AGTTGTTAGCAACTCCTGAGAACCGAAAGTGGTTTGCGATGTAAATGAAGACATTGGTGAATATAATTGAGAAACAAATGTAGATGTTGTCATTGCCGAAATCATTGATGACGTTGTAATATTTAGAGGTCGTTTAGTTTCTTCAACTTCAGTTAACGCTGTTGTAATAAGGGCTTCAGAAAATTCCGTTGACGACTTAATTAATGTTTCTGGTAACGCCGTTATATTTGAAACTGAAGATCCAAAAGAGGTTTTTAATATATACGAAATTATTGGCGAATATATCAATGTATCCGTAGATAATATAGTCTTTGTCGAAAATATCGCTGACAATGTTTTATTAACAGAAGTCTCAGTTTCTTCAACTTGAGTTGACGTCATTAAACTTATTGATTTAGAAATAGATTCAGTCGAAGACTTTGATATGGGTTCTGTTGTAACAGTTGATAATGAAACCAGAGAACCGAAAGTGGTTTCCGATGTAAGTGAAGACATTGGTGAATATAATTGAGAAACAAATGTAGATGGTCTCACTGCCAAAATCATTGATGACGATGTGATATTTAGAGGAAGTTCAGTTTCTTCACCTTCAGTTAACGCGGTTGAAATAAAAGGTTCTGAAATAAATTCCGTTGAGTACTCCATTGATGTTTCTGGTAACCCCGTTATATTTGCAACTAAGGACCCAAACGATGTTCCATATGTATATGAAAATATTGGCGAATATAATGAAGTATCAATAGGTGATATAGTCTTCGTCGAAAATATCGCTGACAATGTTTCATTAACAGAAGTCTCAGTTTCTTCAACTTGAGTTGACGTCATTAAACTTATTGATCTAGAGGTAAATTCAGTCGAAGACTCCAATACGGATTCTGTTGTACCAGTTGTTAGTGAAACTTGAGAACTGAAAGTGGTTTCTGATGTGAATGAAACCGTTGGTGAATATAATAGAGAAACAAATGTACACGTTGTCAATGCCGATCTCATTGATGACGATGTTATATTTAGAGGACGCTTACTTTCTTCACCTTTACTTAACGCTTGTGAAATGAAAGGTTCTGAAATAAATTCCGTTGAGTACTCCATTGATGTTTCTGGTAACCCCGTTATATTTGAAACTGAAGACCCAAGCGATGTTCCGGATGTATATGAAATTATTGGCGAATATAATGAAGTATTAGTAGGTGATATAGTCCTCGTCGAAATTATCGCTGACAATGTTTTATTAACAGAATGCTCAGTTTCTTCAATTTGAGTTGACGTCATTAAACTTATTGATTTAGAAATAGATTCAGTCGAAGACTTTGATATGGGTTCTGTTGTAACAGTTGCTAATGAATCCAGAGAACCGAAAGTGGTTTCCGATGTAAGTGAAGACATTGGTGAATAAAATTGAGAAACAAATGTAGATGGTGTCGCTGCCAAAATCATTGATGACAATGTGATATTTAGAGGAAGTTCAGTTTCTTCACCTTCAGTTAACACTGTTGAAATAAAATGTTCTGAAATAAATTCCGTTGAGAACTCCATTGATGTTTCTAGTAACCTCGTTATATTTGAAACTGAAGACCCAAACGATGTTCCATATGTATATGAAAATATTGGCGAATATAATGAAGTATCAATAGGTGATAGAGTCGTCGTCGGAAATATCGCTGACAATGTTTCATTAACAGAAGTCTCAGTTTCTTCAACTCGAGTTGACGTCATTAAACTTATTGATTTAGAAATAAATTCAGTAGAAGACTCCAATGTAGATTCTGTTGTAACAGTTGTTAGTGAATCTTGAGAACCGAAAGTGGTTTCTGATGTAAATGAAAACATTGGTGAATATAATAAAGAAACAAATGTAGACGTTGCCAATGATGGCGATGTGATATTTAGAGGACGTCCAGTTTCTTCACCTTCAATTAACGCTGTTGAAATAAAAGGTTCTGAAATAAATTCCGATGAGTACTTCATTGATGTTTCTGGTAACCTCATTATATTTGCAACTGAAGACCCAAGCAATGTTCCAGATGTATATGAAATTATTGGCGAATATAATAAAAAATTAGTAGGTGATATAGTCCTCTTCGAGATTATCGCTGACAATGTTATATTAACAGAAGTCTCAGTTTCTTCATCTTGAGATGATGTCATTAAACTTATTGATCTAGAGGTATGTTCAGTCGACGATCCCAATATGGATACTGTTGTAACCGAACTCAGTGAAATCTGAGACCCGAATGTGCTTTGCGATGTAAGTGAAGACATTGGGGAATATAATTGAGAAACAAATGTAGATGTTGTCAATGCCGAAACCATTGGTGACGACGTAACGTTTAAGGGTCGTAAAGTTTCTTCAACTTTAATTACCGCCGTTGAAGTAAGGGGTTCAAAAACAAATTTCATAGACGACTCCATTGATGTTTCTGCTAAGAATGTTTTATTTGAAATTGAAGTTTCGAAAGTACTCTTCGATGTGTGTGAAAATTTTGGCGAATATAATGAAATATCTGATGGTGGTATTGTCTCCGCCGTAGTTATTGCTGATAAGGTTTTATTAAGAATTGGCTTGATTTTTTTAACTTGTGTTGACTTTATTAAGTGAAGTGACTTAGAGATATATTCAATCGACAACCCTTTTAATGTTTCTGTTGTAACTGTCGTTAATATTATTGAAGCCGTCGTTTGGGATGTTGGGGTTTCTATATTTGTAGCGTATGTGCTTATGAATACCAATTCGTATAGTGTTGTGTTGAAAGTGGGTCTTTTTGTTTTCTTACGCTTTTTTTGTTTTACAATAGTTTTGTTACTTTTACTAAAATTTTCTTTCATATCGTTATTTATCAGAGTTCGTTGATTATTTTTTGTGTATAGTTCTGTATGGGAAGTGCTGCTCTTGGGTCTTTTTGTTTTCTTACGCTTTTTTTGTTTTACAATAGTTTTGTTACTTTTACTAAAATTTTCTCTCATATCGTTATTTATCGAAGTTCGTTGATTAACTTTTGTGTATAGTTCTGTATGGGAAGTGCTGCTCTTGGGTCTTTTTGTTTTCCTACGCTTTTTTTGTTTTACAATAGTTTTGTTACCGTTATTAAAATTTTCTCCCATATCGTTATTATTTATTGGAGTTCGTTGTTTATCTTTTGTGTGTAGTTCTGTATTGGAAGTGCTGCTCGTTGTTCTCCTACGCATTCGATGTCTTTTGTCTTGTACAATAGTGGGTTTACTGTGATTAAAACTTTCAGTCACATCACTGGTAGTTGTCCGTTTATTAGTTTGTTGATTATCTTGTGAGTCCCAATAAAGAGATGAAATTCCCCAATTTTCAATAAGTACATTCAATGCACTAAATGGTTCACGTAACTTATAAGGGATAATTAATTCTAGTTTTTCAATATAAGATATGTAAGAGTCAAATAATCCATTTGTTAAAGAAACGTTTATACTTAAGTTGCAGAGAGATATTAGTAAAATATATATATGTATTGAATAATTTTTCATAGTTGTACTTAAAACAATTTGAGAGTCCTTTAAATAAAACAAGTTAATTCTTTCGCCTGAATGCAGGTATAAAATAACAGTAAAAAATGTCATTAAACAGTTTGAAGTTTTAATATATCAGAAACAAAATTTTAATTTATTTAAATTTAAATAAACTCTACGAAAACTTTGTTATACAGGAAAACTTTGTATTGCACGGACATGGATAAAGCCGAAATAAAAAGACAACATAAGTATACGAAATTTGAAAATAATTCTACAGTTTACGACAAAACTAATTTCGATAATATTAAAACCGAAAAAAAAATGCATATTCAAATTCAAATATAAGAAATGAGGTACATCTTCTACAATTTTCGGCAAAAGCTAATCTATCTATCAATATCTCTAACACTATTTTGAACAGAAATAACTGCGTTTTTAACAATATTAAAAATATAGGCTTTGATGAATCGAAATTTACTTAAAAATAGGTGTAGACTAGAAAAAAATTATCCAAGTACATTGACAAGGATGCAAACAATCTTAAACTTTTTTTTTTGTTATTATTGCACCCAATTATAATATATATATGTATAAATTTATATGAAGGCACCTCAACTCTATGACCCCCTTTTTGCTACGACAGTTTAAAATGCAACAAATTGTAATGTAATAGTTAGTTTAAGTATTATATTTAAAAGATTAATGTGATTATATACATAATTATATATAATTAAATTAAATTAAATTAAAATGTATTATACAATTATGTAATTGTTAATGTAAGATATTATTAATGATATGGAAAAAAATCTAAATATTACGGGTATTCCTTTCAGTAATTTTTTAAAATATATTGAGTTCGAATGCAAGAAAAGTAAAAGTATAAGTTAAATAAACCTTACTCAGTTATATACTATTAGGTTTACCATGAAGTAAGACTAGGGAAATAGGTAACCTGCCCTGCACCTACCAACTTACGCCTATCCACAGAGTGTGTCCATATTTTCGTTTAATCTAAGCATCTTTACGAATATATGCATTTTGATGCATAAATGCTACTATATAGCGTCCACATTTTCATCTTATTCATTTGTTATGACAATATTATTGCCCGAAAATGTTTTCAATCATAATATATAAACTAATCTTAAATTTTTTATTTTAACATTTATAGTATAAAAAATTTTTCATCAAAACAACTTAAAATGTTGTCAAAATGATTTATAATTAAAACGAGAAAATAAACAAATAGTTTAATAAAAACATAAAAAATACTTTATTGCATATTTTACCAAATTAAAGAAATAAACCAATCGAGTGGTCAACGTACCTGAAAAAAAAAATAAATTCATATTAATATATCTATTATATTCTGTTATATAAATAATAAACTTTACTTTGTTATTTATAGTTATTTATTATTATATATTTTGTATATAGGATTTTGTATATATAATATATATATATAAGATATATATAATATATATATATATATTTGGTATATTTGTTTGGCAAATTATTATGCATAATTATAATTATAATTATATAATAATTATAATTATTATGCATAAATTATTAGTTCATGTATGATTTAATTAAAAAAATTTCATGAATTTTCAAAGTTATTTAATTTATATTTGCGAAATAACCCTGTACTGATGTTTGCCTACTGTTGCCATTCCATTTATGCGTCATGACATGGCCTTCTTTAACTGCCAATTGCTAACTCCTTTGCATATTGGTTAATCCTGGCTCTTAGTCCCTGTTTTTGGTAAAACAAACATTTTAATTTGTTTGTTTTTAAAGTTGTTAATATATTTGAATGGCTAAACAATCCTTAATATTCTCTCAACTCTTCATTTTCTTGTGTTTCTTGTGTAGTTCCGAAGATTTTTAAAAAAATTTTTTTCAAATACCTACTATTTCCTTTTATTTGTTTTGATCAAGACTTAAGTTACCGATAAGTTCATAGAGTTTTTAAGGTATATTTATAAAACAAGGTTGTAAAAATTTCTTTTACTATAAATATTCTATGTAAATATGTCAACATTTTTAACAAACCCAAATAAACTTTGGAGCGTAGCATCAAAGATTCACGACATTCTGATTATTTATTCATATGGTATAGTGGCTTTGGTGACCGCAGTTTTGAAATTTTGAAACAAAAGGGGTGCTCTTCGAAATTGATTAATGCCTTATAAACCTTATATATGTATAAGTTTATCTACTTCGAAAATGAAGTATCAAAATTTGTATGAAAAAAGTTTACACAAACTTGATCAATTTACACGAAAATTTGACCGAATAAATTTATATCGTATAAATTTATTTGTTGTTAATACAGAATTGCATACCAACACACGCAAATAATTTAGGTATTTTATTTTAAAATTTATTGATAACGACACAGCTGATCAAAAAAGTTTGCATAAATATTTAAAATTGCATCGATATTGAAAAAAAAAAATTGCGCTGCTGAACATTGTATTTTGTGCTGTCATAATTATTGCTAATATAAATAGTGCTATTATAAAGTAGATTGATAAATTTACACAAATATTTCACTAAATGCGTGGATATAACCGTGTAGGTAAACGCATAAAATTATGCATTTATGCATCCCTTATAACTAAAAAAAGTTATATTTATTTTTTTAAGGGAAAAAATAGTAATACTTCATCAGCAAGATGAGGCTAAATAGCGGTTTGATAAGTGTTATGGTAACTCTGCACCGGAGATATCAACTATTACTGACTGGTATGCTGAATTCAACGAGGTCGTTTAAAATATGAATCATTCCGCAAAGTAATTTTTAAAGATGATAAACTAAAGTTGCGTGAATACCAACTGATTTAAAGATATCAGAAAGTAGTCGTCTGTAAACAATTGTACACGAAATTTTGAGACAACATGTTACAAGTCGATAAAAATTATGGTTAAATATTTTCCAGGGAAATCAATTTGCCTCAAAGGAAGACATGATTGCCTATTTGGAGAATGAAAACAAATTGTTTTACAAAAAATATGGAAAGGTAACAGTAGCGATGGAATAAATATATCTCACTTAAAAGAAGATACGTTCATCAACAAAATAAAACTTCTTAAAAACAATTATAAATTGTTATATAAATTTATTTAATAAATGAAGTGTGTTATTTTATAGAAAATAATATTAAAAGTAATATATCATTTTCTAACGAACTTAATTTTTGGTAAAGTCACCCATGAATACATATAATAAAACTATAATAACAAATGCTACAATGATTTTCTTTACCTCTTATAGTGTCATAAATATTTACCTATGTTTTTACATCAGCATATAACATAACTGCTAATACCGGAACAATAACAATAGCAATAAAAATAAAGTAAATAAGTGATTAATATATGAAAGCAATGTGAGTAGTTATTCAATAAATATTATTTATAATATAAATACGAGGGCGGTTTGATAAGTCAGTGACTTTTTGAATTTCCCGCGCAGTTACTCCAAATGGAAAAAATTTCGTGTAGTGATTAAGCATTATTGGCCAAAATCCACGAACTGCTACCCCATCTAGCATACTCTCCAGATTTAGCCCCCTGCGACTATTTTCTATTTCGAAACCTATAGAAATGGCTGGGCGGTAAGATATTTGAGTCGAATGAAGAAATCATTACCGAAACAAATGCGTATTTTAAGAGCTTTGAGAAAACCTATTATTTGGAGTGAATAAGAAAATTAGAAAAACGCTGGACTAAATGTTTCGAGCTAAAAGGTGATTATGCAGAAAAATAAAATGTTTATTTGCCGAAAAAAATTTGTTTTATTCAAAAAGTCACTGACTTATCAAACCGCCCTCGTATAAATAAATATATATAAGAATTAATAAAAAAATTTATGATAAAGTTTTGATTTTTATTTTAATTTCTGATATAGTACTGTATTAGAAAAAACTAAATAATTGCGTTATGTTTTCATATTTTTTTCATATTGTAGAAGCTAATTTGCAATAATTTAAAAATATATCACAACAAAATGTAATGGCAATAGAAATATCACTGCCATGATGCAGCTACTTCTGTGGTTCATTGTCATCTTCGCTTGGTTAACTCCTCAGTGGGAGTGCAAGTGCCATTGAACTTTTTAATATTATATTTTAATTTCATCTCTACAGTTGAATTTCAAATTTTTTACACTTCAGTTTTTAGATTTCAAATTTTCAGCACACAAAAATTTTAAAGTGAAAAAAAAATTTTAAATCTTAGTTATCTTTTAGTTACTTTATCTGCATATTTGTTTAAATATGATATTATTTGTGTTATTATGGTTTTTTAACCTTGACCAAATGTGAAGTTATTTTGTGTAGGTCTGAGAAAATTTTTAAACATTGTTATTTATATAAAATTTTTTTCAACTGTACTTAAGGAAATGCAAATAGAAGAAAAACAACCCGAGGTAAATAGTATAATAAAAATAATAATGCTAAAGTATATAGCATTTATAAAATAAATATTGGGTTACTTTTTTTGTCTGTTCCAAAAAAATCAAAGTATTTAATAATCAACATATTGTTTGCTATATGTTTTATGAACGTAGATTTTTCTTTTCTCTGATTTGCGATTTTAATTACGCGAAAAACTTTTTAATTTAACTGACAAAATGACTTATAACATAAACTATTTAAATGTATATAATAATAACTACTAAACCCAATAGTAGTTATGTGATTTTTAAATTTTGTTACTATCATGTTCGTAGTTAAGTGTTCTGGCATACGCCATAAATTTTAAAATGGTCCTTTTTAGTATAGATCTTTCAAAAACTCAAATTTTATTTTTTTCACAATTTTGGTTACAGTGATTTTTCGATCTGGATTTATAAAACAATAATATAATCCATCATATCAAACTACAATATTCGTTCAATAAGAATCTAGGATGTTAGAATACTAAGAATCTGACCGTAATCTAATACATGTATATATGACGCTTCTCTTAAAAAAATACCATCGGCAATAGAAAAATTCAATATAGAATCTTGTAATCACCCATCAAGCCTATAGTTATGCAACAATGCACTAAAGGTCGTTTTACGATTTTAAGAGATAGTAAAAGTATTTGTTGCAAAAAAATGCGTTATTTATAACAGAAGAAGAGTGATATACCAAATATTTATAAAGTAAAAAAAAAATTGAGTAATGTAACAGTCTCTGATATAAAAAAGCAAATTTAAACAGTTTCATTGGCAGAAATGAAAACTTTAGAATATATTCTGAAACCAAAAAAAAAATAACGAACTTAAATAAATTCAACAGACTAGTTGTAAATATATACCAACTCAAGTAAGCAGATAAAATAAATTTGCATCTAGTCTGACTGAGATAAAATTTGATTTACAAATTAACATATGTTGCTTTCTTTAGTCGTATTCACAATTTTTGAATCTAAATAAAGATGAAGAAGAATTTATAGTATTTTGCTTTAAATATTATTTATTTTTATGGCCGAAACTTATATTTTAAATACAGAACTGGCTAATTCGATAACTATTGAAGAGTGTTGAAATATCTGAAAATAATTAAAAGAAACAATACTTAAAATAATAATGAAGTTGTATTTTAATCAAATGACCAATCAGTCGTTTTTACCGGTCACGTGCACTGTTTTTAATTTATCAATTTGATGTACAACATGATCTTTTTGTAATTATCATAGAAAATTTACTAACCATTATGTACATTGCAAAAAGCTATATCATTTGAATTTTATGTGCAATTTTATGAATAAAATATTTTTCAAATATACTTCACCAATAACATAAAATGAAAACTTTTAGGTAATTACAAGTTCTTTGTTAATTTTGTGATCTTACCATAAGATCTTAACTACAGGTATTTCTAAATTATTATGTCAATAGTCAATAAAAAAAGTAATTATTTTTCACACATAATCAATAACTAAATATATTTGTTTATTGTTATAACTGCATTTATAGTAAAATAAGTTGAAAATACGTTAATCCATTCCTGTTCATAACATGGACGTGTGATTAGGTATGTCATGTCAAGCACACAAGTCATTAAAATGTTCACACAGCAGTGGTAATAATGCCCCATGACAAGCAGTTAGTTTAAATACTATTTACAGCTTTCACTTCAACAGTGACTATATATTTTCTTATGTGTTTATGTATTAAGCATATTACAACATCGCAAATTTCATGAATGTGCATAAATGAAATTTTGCTTTTATTTCCCGATCCATTGATATATAAACAATATACACATATGTAAACAATACATGTTTTTGTCACTACCAACCGCATTAATCTGTATTGCAATAGTTAAATTGTCTCTAAAGTATTTGCTGTAGTATGATAACACAACTTACATTTTCTATCAATAAAAATACTAACTTTACTTCTCAATCACTTCAACATTCAGTATTTGTCAATTAAGTAAATTAATGCATATTTTTTGATTAAATTGTTGCTATTAGATTACAATAGAATTCATTTAGTATTTATTCTTTTAATGTTCTCATATTAATTAAATTTAATATTTTTCATTTCCATATTTAGATATTATTTTAATATTTTGAAGGCTAAGTGTTTAATATAAACCGAGAAATAAAAAAAAATATATGCCATTAATGTTAAATGGTAACTTAAATCATAACTTAACACATATGCCAATATTAAGTCCATTCAATAATCTTTATATTATGATTACATATCCTAATACATTCATTTTCTTTAAACATTTTTTACACAGCAACATTTTATCTATTATGGACAGTTTTGCCAAGATCACCCTGTAGCAAACTTTTTATTTCTTTCTGACAAAAACAGCATTTAATTAATTTAATTATATAGTTATGTATAAGTAAATAATTATGCTTTTCTATTAAATTTTTCCTCATTATTAATGTAAGAATGACTAATTATAGAAAATTATAAAAATTTTTCTCATAGTAGCAATAGGTAAAGAAAAATTGTGACTTTTTTATATATCTAATTTTAATGTCTACCTATATATATATATATTTAATCCTTTAAGCCCTAGGAGGAACATAAGGCCACAACAAATAAGTTCCACTCGGTACGATTGTTGGCCAATAGCTTCAACTCTCCCCAGCCTTTCCGCATGTGTGACATTACCGTGTCGGTTTGTCTTCTCCAGGTGTGAGCAGGTCTGCCCCTTCTTCTGCTACCCATCGGGTTCACTCAATCGCCATTCTTGTGGTGTCACCAGTCGATCTACACAAAGTGTGGCCGATCCATTCCCATTTACGGTTTTTAATTTCGTTTCTCATAGGTGTTTGCTGAGTTAGAGACCATAGACGATCGTTTGAAATTGTATTTGGCCAAAATACTTTAATAATTTTGCGTAATGACTGCCTTCCATATAGAAGGCAAGATTTTATGTTGGAATTAAATATTCGTATTTTAGTCCGACGCGATAGCTGAGATGATCTACAGACTTTATTTAAGCGACCGAACGTTTGTTTTGCCTTCTTGATGTCTACATATATGTCTACATAAGAATCATAATATTGTATTTAATAGATTATTACGTAAATAATAATTTTATACATAATTTAAATATATATTTAATTTTAAAGATGCGTCAAAACAATGAACATTTTGCCATATTATAAGCAAAATATATAGTCACATCAATATGCATTGCAGATCTGTAAGTTTTTGAGTTTGCGTTTGTTATTGTCTTTAGATATTTTCAGCATGAATTTTATCTATTGTTTATATTTAATTCAATTAAATATTTATTTAACAATTATGTCCTTGAATACTTACACGTTTTATATAGAAAAAAATACAACTAACACATGAATGAACACTTTTGTACTCGTATATATGAGTACATTAAAAATAAATGAATATTTTAAACACCTGCACTTATTCATGCTTACTTACACAATTTTAACGTATAATTTTATATTTCTTACTATTGTAAAATTAATTTATAATAAAATAGTTTTAACTTGAGTCTACAATAGCCAGCTTGGGTGGAACAACTTTTACTTGATTACAAACTCACTTTTCAGGGGAATGAACATATTTATTTATGTGATTCTAATCTATAGTTTATAAATAGATATTCTTTTATACAATTCAAGACATAAATACTATACAAAAATAGATATATGTACTAAATTGGTGCGAAAAGTACTTAACTATAGTCAAAGTTATTTTTTTTTAGTTACATTTTTTCGTATTACGTCCCACAAAATAAGTAAATAGAATATTATAAATTGTAGATTTTAAATTTTAAGATTTTATTTTTTGTTAAACTGATTTATTACATTTGCCACACAAATAAATTATGAATTTATATGTATTTAATGACTGAGTTTATGGAAAACCATAAATGTCCATTGTTTAATTGATTTTCTCTGTTTACGCTTATGTATATTAACTGAATACTCCATTTACGAAATATATACGACTTTTCGATAGCAATTGATAAATTTTATAACAATTTACTAATTTTTTATAATACATATTTTTCAATTATTTAAAACTTCGTTGACTTTTAGAACTAAACAGATTTGAATGAAATTTTATAGCGAAATATTTATTTATTTTTGTTTTAATTTTTGAGTCGTTACTTCGAAAATGTTTAAATGCGGTTATTTTTGTTTTTTAAAATATACTAACTTTTATTTCGAAAGTTTTTTTGTGTATCTCTACACGTGTTTCGGCAAATTCGCTTTTGCCTTCATCAGGAGAATTCCTTATATTTATGCCGAATACTCATCTTTAGGGAAAAATATTTTAAAACCGCAATGAATAAGTGAATGGCGCAAGTTGTTTCCTAACTTGATTGACATTAGAATTTATGCAAACGTTGATACATTTCTTAACGCCAAAATAGATTGCTCTGGTTCATTCAACTACCACATTTGAAGCTTAATCTAATTCAGATATCTATAAGAAAATATATAATTGATATCAAAATGAATTTTGGAAACTAATGGCGTGCATATATAAAAAGGATAAATCAAAAAGTCGCGTATTCCTACTCGAAAAAAATTTCAAAATTACCTAAAACTCTCCAGCTCAGAATATGTCTATACAAGTATTTCAGAATTCAATACAAGTATGTACCTCACGTATGTGGAGTTTGAGAAGGTTTTTAATGTGTTAAATGTTATGGTTGATATGACACAGTTTTTAACAGTTAGACTACAAATTATTAATATCAACAAAACCACGTTCTTAAAAATGACTGCCAATAACACTTCGTAATACTGCAGAAGATTATATTAAAGATGTGACCAATTTATAACAGTATTTTTTCAACTTACGTGGATGTATACCCTCTAAATTGAACCATAGATTGCTGAAAGCAAGACTTTTGTAAAAACGTTAGATATGAATTTGCTTTTCTTTTTTAATATAATTGCAAAAACAAGTATGAATTTTCTATATATTAACCTCCAATTACGAAATCCAATAATAAGATATTTAATCTTAGTTAATGCAAACAGTTTTTCAACTAAATGAATGAGTTACTCTATTTTTTATTAACATTTTGTTAGCAATAAATATACAATAGGGTATGGAAAGCCATTAGTTTCACAAAATCGATAAAAATATAAAGATTGTAAATCATAAATAAAATGGTGATGTATATCCGGTTGTTTGCCTATTACTACATACAATATATGTTACTGAAAATTGTTATTTAATTCTTATCCTTTAGTATCCCAATATCAACACATTTTTCAATATTAATTTATATACACATACAAATTTACATTTTTTTTTTCATCCTTTTAAAAGACTTTATTATATACTCGTACAATGAGCTGTACATAAATTTTAGCCAGACCGTTTGATTTAAATTCGATCTTGTAAATAGCAGGTATAAGATATTTCGGCAAAGTGTCCACATTTACGAGACATTTATTAAACTCAAACTTTTTTTTCACTAGAGGTCCTTTGAATTCGCGATTTCCTAACTGGAGGGCATTAGAACAATTTCCAAATGAAGGCATTAAAATATCTCGATACATATTGTTAAGCCAACAGTACAATATGTTCTCTTTATATTTAAATGGCAGAACTACATAATTATTACTACCACTCACACTCCGGGACATCTGAATTTCGATCTTTCAAAAAGTCATTCAATTATTAATTATTTAAACATAAAATATAAATATCTTACAGTAATAGCATCATCGGGAATATCTCGTTTCACATCAATAAATCCTGATATTCCATATACGTTGCGAGATATGTGTGCAGTTTTCAGATCAATATCAATATAATCATTATTTGAAACGTTTGAGAAAACTGTACTAATAACATAATACCATTGTTGCTAGTTAAACAAAAAAATAATTAGTTTATTAAAACAAATAATTAAAGAAAATCTATGTTTCAAACCTCTTTAAAATTTATACATAAAATTGTTGTAGATATGCATGCGCATAACACAAAAGCTGTGCACAATATTCGAGAAATCATAATTCTGTTGTTTTAGACAATATTTAGTACAGAATATTTATTTCAAATGCAGATACTTGTATTTATACAATTGAGATAATATTTGAGAACATTTTATTTGCTAAACATTTAATTAACTTAAATTATATATTGGTATTTGATATTAAAATAACAATAATAACATTTAATACTTTTTGTTAATAATTGTTATAAAATTGTAACGGATAATAGATAATAAAATATTTAGTAGTTTATATAATTTACAATAGCTTTTGTTTTCCGTAGTAAGGGTACATTCGGGCACCGTGTTTAAATTCCACATATAATAAACGACTAATTTTTAAATTTTTAGGCCCCATTAAATTTATCAATCCTTTATTTCATTTTGAAACATTTTTTCTGATAAAAGATATTACATATTTAATCAACGTATGAGATTGTTTCTTATTAATTGTTTCGAATATTACACACATTTTTTTAAAAAGCCATTATAATTTGTCAACTTCCGATTATTAAATAATAGTTCCTCATATATGAGTGCCTTTTGGAGGTCAGTGCTAATGGAATTTTATATGAAAAACCGAATTCTTTTTGGAAACTTGTTTAAATTTTCAAGCGATTGCCTTGGAAAGTGACTTTCCTTCCTAGAGCAATACAATACCAAACAGATCCTTTGATCAAAACCTCAATATATATATATATATATAATGGTATATATATGCTATATATGTAATTGATATATGTATTGATTATAACATTTTCAAACTTCACCTGTAAAAACACTAAACCACTAATCCCGAACCACTGAAGATATATATATTTTGTTATATATTTTTAAAAATTTAATTTGATTATTAATGTTTTGTATAAAATACTAATATTATTATTATTATTTAATATCAGTGCATATACTACGGTATCCTGTAAACTAAGGATACCGTAGTATATAAATACTGCCGTAAACTCGCCATGTAAAAGTGTATTGAAACCATAATCATTAATAAACATTTGTATAATTATATTATTTTGAAATATATAACATTTAATCAGTGTATTTTTTAATTTAATTTTTTATATTTTCATAAATCATAAATCTGTTGATTAATTACTCATTTAACAGTAGCTCGCTAATCTTTGGTTGGTTTGATAATTCTGTTTTACAAATTTAAAAAAAAACGTAATACCAGGTATTGTATAGATTTATGTACATTGAGTTCAAAAAACCAATATTTGTATCCGCCCCAACGGCAGTACTTGAAAACAAACTTGAAAGTGAAAGCAAAAACCAAATGTCTAATTACCTACTGAAATCATGTCAAATGCCAAAAAAAATTTATGATGTATGATTAAACGTAAAATATACATAAATTATTTTAAATACATATTGATTTTTTTAAAATAAAAACCGTTTTTCATTACTTTACTTCATTTTTAATAATGCAATGCAGTAAATTCTATATTTTACAACAAACAGATATTACAATAGCATAATTAACTAATTGATTAATTGATCTAAAGATTTAAAGCCTTTATAGATTATAGATAAATTAATATATGTAAATTAAATTTAAAAATAAATTATAAACCAAATATACCATAACATATAAAATTGTCGCCAATATTTTCCTCAATTTAGAAAACTACAATGCCTTCCTTATATAGTCAAATGTAAAAATGTATCTACTCAAATATTTCTTACGCACAATCTTAGACAATAAACAAACAAATTTGTTTTAAATTGAAAATCAAGGTCATGCAAGTGTTACCGTTACGCCCTGATTAGCTCGGTCTTTTTTAAAACTAAACGAATTGGCTCCGCTACTGTTGATGGTGCTGCAATTAGATTCACTTGTTTCAAATGTTATCTTCAGATTGTAGTACCAAGTTTAATTGCACACATTAATTACATTTCAGGTGTTGGCGTGTCTAACAATAATGAAGATTTATAGGTTAATACTATAATTAAAATTTTTCATCATTTTAACAGATTCTAATATTTGCTATTATATTCCATTGTCATTATAATGCATATACTGTTATAAAAATTATCCAAAATTAGTATTTTCATAGTTTTGTATAAATTTCTGTCATTTGCAAAAACATAATACAAGGATTTTTATTACAACACAAATATAAATCAAAGAAATTATCCATTTCGAAGGTAAACATAAATAAAACTTTTCAGTATTATATATTTTAAAATTTTATTTGTGTTTCGTAAATTAACTACACAAATATAAAAATTTGAAAAACATTTCCTGATAGAGTGCTTACATTCCAATTCTCTATATAGACTTATTTCGCACATAAAAAAGGAAGCATACAGACTAATGAAGCTTTGGGAAAATTAACTATATATTTTGCGGAATTATATGATAACACTAATATATCAATACACAGTCAACAATTAAGAACGAGACCATGAATTTAAATTTGTAGAAGCTTTAATACCTCTTACCTACCTCTATCATGAATTCAAAAAATTTACTGCCCTACAAGCAGCAATGTTCGTCTTTTTCTGGTAATTTGTATGTCATTTCGTTCCTGGTATCTCCAACGTTATATATCATATGTCACGTTATAAGAATTGATGGTCATCAAATAATGCTGTCTAAGTTCCTAGTATATATGGTAGCTAATCTAAACTCAACTAAATACAATTAATATTAAATTCCAAAAAAATTCTTAAAAATAAGTAATATGTTTTGTTTAATGTGCGATATTAATAAATTTATGGAAAAATTACCATTCATCTATGTTAAAACTTGAGATTTTGATCTATTTAAGAAATAAACCGATAGGTAGTTAATCGTTTAATTTGTAACATCGAGCTGATTAATGTGTTTACTTTACTAGTTCACGATTACTTTTTATTGCGTAAAATTTTTACATTATTTTAAATATGTGAAGGCTATAAAACTTTTACATGCATACATAAATAGTTGATAACCATAAATATATGCACTATGCAGGAATAATAGAACATAAAATATATAAATGTTTCCAGAAAAATGTGCGAACATTCAAGTCAAGTACGAGTTTGGGTCAGTTGGTTTAGGTGCGCTGACTCTGAGCTTCAAATTTGACAGGATACGAGTTTGATTATTTACGAATAATTAAATAAATGAATTATTTCCAAGACAGTCTCAAAAAAAAAAAATTATTTACGAATAATTAAATAAATGAATTATTTCCAAGACAACGAATATTGGCAATATTCAAAATAGCTGTATGGTCAGCCGAAAATTCAATTAATTAAAATAATATAAAATGAATTGTAACTATTGTAGTTTACTGCTGTTCGAAAAACCTATTTATAAATGTTTTATCGCAATTAAGTTGTTTTAAAATATATTTATATCACTAGTATTTGTAATTAAATTACAAAATTTAAAAAGATTTTAGAAATATAATAGATAATCCTTAATAAGATTATTTATTTTTTATAACTTTTCTTTCTGAATACTTTTCTACAGTTTTTTCTTTCTGTTAAAAACTCTAGTAAATACTTATATATGCATATATACATACATTTAATTGCATTTTATAAAATACAGTTTAATTTAGAAAAGCTGTTGACCTTTGCCTAAAATTTCCACACTCGTATTATTTATTTGCAACATGTTTTAATAGATATTTGCAACACAAAACTCCTTTTTTTTTTTTATAACGACTTTTAAATAATAAACTAAATATCTACAATTTTTATGCTGGCCAGTAAGAAAAGGTGTGGCAGCACAAAATTATAATTAAACAACACAATATGTATAAAATATGCAGTTATATCTCATTTTTCCTTTTGCTCTATTTTTTGACTTGTTATTAAAACAACATTTACTAAAGTTAACAATATCCAACACAAAAGTATTTAAATGCTGCGAACATGATCACAATTGGTATTTTTTGATTTCATTCATATCACTCTTTACCACTAACACAGGTCGTAAGACAAGCTACAAAAACTATTTCTGTTACGTTTTTCTAAAAATGTCTAAACAATTTCAGAATAATTACCAGTAGAGTACATTTTGTAACTTTTCTTGCACGAGCTAATGTGGATTAATTGTCATTTTTACTTTACCCTAATATGACTAATAATTTCAAATTTTTACTAAATATAAATTAAATTATTCAAAATTACTTCACTTTTGATTTAGTTCACTGACTCTATTGTCTTCCACTTCAACAGGTTTTTTTAAACATTTTTGTAATTTGAACTAAATTAAATTAATTAAAACATATATTTCCTAAGATTAGGTATGTATATTATGAAACATTAAATGTTGATTGTTAACTGACTGCTGATTTTGCAAAATTTTGGTAGTTTTATGGTACAATTTTTGAATTTAAAAACTATTTTTAATATTGTATATGATATATTATATTCAACAATGTAATATGTAGCAGCAATATTACTAACTGACAGTCTATTTCATAAGAATTCATTTATGGATTGAATTTACATTCTACTAACTTATAACCGTTAAACTTATAACATAAATAACACATAACATTTTCTAAATCAAAACAAAAACAAAATTATTATTATAATTTAAAATATTAACAGTCCAAATATCTCAAACTTCTAAAAATTCGATCATATAAAGGAATTCTGCAGGCATAAGTGCGTAAATTAGTTATTAAGTGAAGCTAGTTACTACCAAATAACAAAAAAGTATTTCTTTCTTATTTATATTTTAATATCCTTTTGAATATTGGTAAACATATACATAAAATTCAATATGAACCTATTTAAAACGTGTAAAATAACGAATAATTTAATATATTATCAATATATCATCAAAATCGTTTAGTAAAGTGATCGAGTAAGTCATTAAAAATAATAAAAATCAAAATAAGTCAATTTTCAATACTAAAGAATATCTAACGAAATTTTACAATTTTAATTTTCATTACTTATTCAAGGGTAATATATCTTATAATAAGCTAGGTTATTACGACAATCCTAAGGAACCAAGGATCCACGTAATTTAGCAATTCTTGTTAGCCCAATGTTTTGCCTTA